TAGATAGTAATGTAATTGTTTCTGAGGAATCATTGGAGCTTGTTGAGTCAACCGTATTTCTTGGTATAACAGTGGACTCCAAACTGCAGTGGGGACCTCATATTCATAAATTGGCGAGTAAGCTCAGTTCTGCAGCATACGCAGTAAAAAAAATTAGAATGTTTACAAATGCAGACACGGCTCGTTTAGTTTACTTTAGTTACTTCCACAGTGTCATGTCCTATGGCATTTTGCTATGGGGCAATGCGGCCGATGTAGAAATGATATTTATTCTGCAGAAAAGAGCTATACGTGCTATTTATAGCGAATATTTAAAAAAATCTAATATTAAATTTTTTTATCTAATATTCCAAAAAAAAAAAAAAACATGCCCGCTGAGTTTCTTGCCAATTCTTCTCAGGACGGAGGCTAATTCTTGTGAATTGGCGGTAGTTTTTTTGACGTTCAACAAGTATGTACTTTCATTTATGTTGAATAAAACTTTTTTGATTTGATTTGATTTGATTTGATAAGTCGATACCAAGGTTGTTATGACAAAACACATTACAAACATGCAATGACAATTTTTAAAAATCTCTATAATACTAAGGATTTAAAGTTAACATACTATAATAATGTGATAAACTCTGAAATATTAGATTGTATGGTAGACTCCGACTTTGCAGGGGATAATATAGATTATTTGGAAACTTTTTTGGAAAACACATAAGCTAAGCTCAGTTACTAGGTGTTCCACTTTCGCAGAATATACTGCTATGTCAGAAGCAGTCACAGAAATACTTTTCACTAGAAGCTTGTTATGTGAATCATTCAATATAAAATTTGATAAACCAATAAAGCTGTATAAAGATAATTCAGGTGCAATTTTGATTGCTAAGTATGGCAATTTTACTAAGAATTCAAAGNGGAAAACACATAAGCTAAGCTCAGTTACTAGGTGTTCCACTTTCGCAGAATATACTGCTATGTCAGAAGCAGTCACAGAAATACTTTTCACTAGAAGCTTGTTATGTGAATCATTCAATATAAAATTTGATAAACCAATAAAGCTGTATAAAGATAATTCAGGTGCAATTTTGATTGCTAAGTATGGCAATTTTACTAAGAATTCAAAGAACATTGAAGTTCAGTACCATTATATAAATGAAAAGTATGAAAAGGGTATAATTGATATTGTTAAAATTGATACGAAATATAATTTAGCAGACATATTAACTAAAAGCTTAGATAATACTACTTTCTTGAAAAATAAGGCAGGGTTAAAATTATTTTAGTATACACAGTATATTAATCTTTGTTCATAAAAATATTGAATGTAAGAAATCAGGATTATAAATTTAAGGAGGCGTGTTGTAATCTATGGTAATTTTATAATACTGATTTATATTAATCTATGGTTACTTGTTTAAAAATGTCTGTCATGGAACCTTTTTCCTCTTTCCGTTGATATAATTGTCTAAGAATACTACTGGTCTCCTTTTATTGAAACCTCAACAATATCTTAATTGGGCCTCTTATTTTGCCCGCTACATTTAATGGCCCAAGATTTTTGGAATTCCTGCAAACTGAATATCAAAATGCATTCAGTGAATCACCATTGACATATACGACAAGAATTATACTCCAATTAGACCGAGCTCCGGCACACTTTGCGGCCAATGTAAGAAATTATTTAAATTACACCTATCCAACATGAATTGGACGAGGTGGGACGATTGCTTGGCTGCAGCGTTCCCCGGATTTGACACCCCTTGACTACTTTCTATGGGGCACAATAAAACAGAAAAAGCCTTAAAAAGCCTTATAGCGCTAGGACCTCGAGGACCAGGGGTCTCGACACCGAATGGGACAAAAACATATTCATAAACATAGTGACAACATGTTAGAGTGAGACAAAAGTTCGGTTCTACTCTGATTAGGACGAACTGACAGGAAGTCGTCCTTCGCCTGGCGTTGTAATTACATTCTTGTAGGTACTGCGCGAAGTACTGTGCGTTGTTATTTTTTAACCTCTGCGTTATGTTTTGGACGGCAGTTTTTTTTTTTTTTTTATTGCATAGATAGGTGGACGAGCTCACAGCCCACCTGGTGTTAAGTGGTTACTGGAACCCATAGACATCCAAAACGTAAATGCGCCACCCACCTTGAGATATAAGTTCTAAGGTCTCAAGTATAGTTACAACGGCTGCCCCGCCCTTCAAACCGAAACGCATTACTGCTTCACGGCAGAAATAGGCAGAGTGGTGGTACCCACTCGCGCGGACTCACAAGAGGTCCTACCACCAGTAACCTTTTTATCAATAATCGCGAAAGTAAAATACCTATTACAATAGAAACCACAACTTATAACTTTTTCCTTTCAGGCAGCGAAGATGAGTCGGAGGAAGAGGAGGACGAAGAAATTATGCAGCCGCCGCTGGTGCCCCACTCGACCAGGATGTGGTTAGAAGTTGAAAGAGGTGAAGAGAGCAGAGAGAGAGAGAACATCAAAAATCAAACAAGTTGAAGTTAAGCGTCAATTGCACATGACGATGATAGACGGCAAAATAACCTCATATTTGTCAGAAACATTTTCTGCTGTCTGTGATATTTGCAAAGCAAAACCGTCAGTTTTTGGAGTCACTTGCTTATCAAAGAGAAAATAATGAAGAAATATTCCAGTATGGAATGCCATCTTTACATGCCTGGATANCACCTGAAGAAGCTGTGGACGCCTACAAAACGGCCATTTTGGAGACCCCAACTTCCGAATGGAATGGTTGCTTCAATGATTGGTTCCATCGTATGGAAAAATGTGTCAAATTTCGCGGAGAATACTTCGAAAAGCAATAAATACATTTTTAAATAGTAATGTTGTGTCACTTCGTTAATTCCCGAAAATTTCAGTGCCGCCCTCGTAGGAGTAGATTTTTTAGTTTTTTATGCAAATGCAAGACATGGGAATATGTAGGCTCTCTAGAAGCAACCTGAGACCTTAGAACTTAAATCTCAAGGTGTCAACTCAACGCAATAACCAAGCCAGATCGCTACCCAATACCTCGTATACAAGACGGTACCTTTTCATTGCACGGAAAACTATATTTTCGAGAGTAGACATGCAAAGATCTTACCATAAGATTCCTATATATGAAAAGGACATTCCTAAGACAGCAATTGTTTGTCCTTTTGGTTTATTCGAATTTATTTCTTCGATTCGATTTCGAGTATCAAAAGACGGTCTTAGAACACTGGACGAACAAGTAAAGCCGCGTATCGACTACGCGCTCCTGGCCATGAATAACCGCGCCGAGAGTGCGTTCCGCGGAACGCGTGCCACACTTTTGAAGTATATCAAATAAGCGCGCCTGGCGCGCGTGGCAACCGTTCCAGTGTTTGACCCTTCATCATGGAAACCAGTCGCAGTCGTGTACGAGCAGCAGCAGCTTTTGTAATTATTCACAGTATTATAGAGAAGAAAAAGGAGAAACGAAAAGTGCGTTGATGGATGAAAGAGCTGTACCGAAAAAGAATGCAGTATGGAGTGACACTTATCAGAGATATGCAGTTCGAAGTGGTAGAAGACACAATTTTTTCTTTAACTCCGGCACAGGGACTCCCATTTCACTACTGATTTCTCGCCAAGCATCTTCTCTCAGCGATTTGTTGTGATACGAAAAACTTTTGTCAACAGCAGTTCTTTTGTACCATACAGTTGTATTAACTTACGGCAACGTTATCCATAATGGGAGCGCACAAACACAAAAAAATACAACGTGTCCGTCTCAATTGGCGCGCGCGCCGCGACTGATGCGTGGTAAAAAAAACTGACAGCCGACGGAACGGACCGCTCTGCGTTTGGGCGGTTCAACGAACACATTGGGCGCGCGTTCCAAAATGGTATCCATTTCGCGCGGCTGGAGCGCGCGCCAATGTTCGATCTCTTGGAGCGCATAATCGATACGCAGCTTAAAGGTCATATCCGAGTTCAAGAGGCCGAATACAGTAGATGAGTTACGAAGTTTTCTTGGAATGGTGAACTTCTACAGGCGACATTCACCAAAGACAGACAGTATTCACGACAAATTAAATATATTTTTGCATAACTCCAAGAAAAAGGAGAAAAGCTTGATTCCATGGAACGCGGAAGCACTTGAAGCATTCGAACAATGTAAACAAAGCCCAAAAACGCAGTTACATTGTGATTCCCATCACCAGATGCATCGTTAACCCTTATGGCGGATTGTTCTAATACTTGCGCCGCACAGTGGGTCGATACTATGATTTTAGTGACTTAGGGACCAACTTTGTTTTTTAATAAAAAAAATATGTAGATAGATAGAGTTCGTTAATCTCAATAATAATTGTTTTGGGCAAAAATTACTAAAACTTCATAGTTTGGTCAGAAAAATGTGTTTTGTGATTTTTTTGTATGGAGCGGGTCACATTAAATTAAATTCCTGCTAAGTTTCGTGAGATCCCGCTTTGAAACTTTATTTTCCTTACACCTTGTCTAGTCTACTATCATTTGATGCTATAAACATGTGTATAAAGTTGCAACTCTGCCAAATAAATGGATCGAAAAAAATGAATAAATACATAGAATAAAAACCTTAATTTTTTTTTCGTAAGTGCTTTTAAGTTAAATTTGATATGGATTAGTAAGTTAAAGCACGTAATGATACCCATAATTACATAATACTTAACAACAATACATTTAGTAGGTCTCTAATTAAGCAATCTCTCTATTTATTAGGATAGCTAACATTATTTATTAATCAGGATAATTAGTAAGTAAAAAAATGACAGATGTTCAAATAATAAAGATACGGCGATAAAGTTAATCATTTTTTGTTTTTTTTTTGTTTTAGATATTTGATTTTTTTAAATTTTGTACCAGTGATTGGATTGTTTGCATTTTCATACTTTTTTATTTCTAGTCAACATGCTGCAGCCCGTGGTCGAGGCAGAGGTGGTCGTGGTGGCGGTCGACGTGTCCGCACACGCGGTGGTAGTCACCAAGCCCGACCTTCGGCCTTTGAATTGTAATTACCTCTTAAAACTAAAAACCTAAATTAAGATATTTTTTTATTTACTTTGTTTTGTTTGTTTTATTGCATTGATGGGTGAACGAGCTCACAGCCCACCTGATGTTAAGTGGTTACTGGAGCTGTCCGCGCCAGTACTTCACGTACAAGCGGGGACTACGAGGTCTGCGGGGGGGTCCAACCACCACCACGGCATTGACGACTCGAGCGGCGAGAACCGAACACACACAGCGACACAGAACACTACTGGAACGATATAGAATCGCACGCGCGACTCGCGGCTTATGTTGCATTAAACTTTATATACAGTCTATCTTACAATAAAACCTCAAGAACAAAAACCTTTATTTTACTGAGCTACCGAACATAATGGTCCTTCGAGCCAATTTTTCACCTGGATTTCCGGTGAACAAGTGTCGCAGCATGAATCGTGGCAATCAGAATTATTTTACCGACTTCGGTCGGCCTTTGGGTTCCTCGTATCGTGGGGGTTCAAATTTCTATGGAAACCGCGGCTATCAGGGTTATAATAATGGTAGAAATTTTAATACAAATAACGTCAATTGGAATCAGAATGATAATGGCAATAGTAATAATAGACAAAAGAGAGGAAATAGTAAATTTCAACGTTCAAATAAACGAATGGAATCATTTCGACAGGAGAAATCCACTTTTAATGCAGATACTTATCAGGAAGAATTGAAAAAGAAACTTATGATAGGGACATCTAGTGCAGATGACGCCTTGGCTCGCCTTGGTGAAACCCAAACTTTAAAGGCTATTGCCCTTAGCATAACGACTAGAGGGATAGGGTTCGGCGTGTGCCAAACTCTTTTTACTGCAATTACGATCAATGAGAATATTATTTTACCTTCATGCTATTCGTTGTTTCGTATTTTTCTTGCAACTTTCGAAGCGAAGATGGAATCGCTTAAATCAGATTATCCGCTTGTTAGTAGAGACAGTGAAATCACTTTTAAATATTCAGCTAGCTCCCGCAAAGCATACTACGTCGGGCATACAACAACATATGCCCGCTTCCTGTGGACTCCTCGGAGATCCATATTGAAGAAGACGACTCTTCAACGCCGGGGAGGATGTCCGCGCCAGTACTTCACGTACAAGCGGGGACTACGAGGTCTGCGGGGGGGTCCAACCACCACCACGGCATCGACGACTCGAGCGGCGAGGACCGAACACACATAGCGACACAGAACACTACTGGAACGATATAGAATCGCACGCGCGACTCACGGCTAATATTGCATTAAACTTTATATACAGTCCACCTTACAATAACACCTCAAGAACAAAAACCTTTATTTTACTGAGCTACCGAACAGGAACCCAGATACATTTACAACATTTTTTGTTTGTTTGTTTTATTGCATTGATGGGTGAACGAGCTCACGGCCCACCTGATGTTAAGTGGTTACTGGAGCCCAGATACATCTACAGCTTTTTACACAAGCTCATTTGATATATTTTTTTAATGCCAATACGCATTTCAGACTCGTCACAATGCCAATCAAGGCGTTGCCATCGGGTCGATCAATGGAGACGCCAATGCACCCGAAGAGGGTAAGGGTGCTCGCTCCGGTAGTGGAAAACCCAAGGTGTGTATTCTGGTACTTTTCAATATATTTAGGTTTTTTAACAGCAAAACAATATCTCTAGCTTTGTTTTCAGATCAGAAATGTGGGGAACCGACGCTCCGTTCCCGACCAGGAGGGACCAGGAGACGCCTCCGGTGCCATCACCTGCCCTGTAACTATATTATTCAATAATGTAACCTATTTTATAAACAAATAAAGAAATATATTAGAGAAACAAAATTTTTGGGCCATTAAATTTATATTAAATTTTTATTCAATATTTATTGCTTAGTTCGAAATCAAAGAAAAACTTGAATTTTGAGATAGGTGCCTTACTTGATTTTTTTATTTTATTTTATACTCATTTCTTAAATAAAATTTTTGTAGATACGTAGAATGTGGGCCTAGTAGCGGGGCAAGCACGCCGACCACCGAGCGGCCTGCGTAAGTATAAAATTTTTACACATCACATAAACATATTTTTATACGTTAATTGTTTTGATATATTATGTTATAAAATATTTGTTTTATTTTTCAGAAGTCTGGGTCACGTCCCAAAAAAGCTCGGCGTGAATTGTAAGTTCATCTCTGTATACTACCAATATAGAATATAAAATAACCATAAAAAATAATTACTAGCATTGATTTAAATATTCTTTCTATTTTGTAGAATCCCTTAGTCCTCTTCATCCTCTCGACCTTTTCGCGACGAAGAGATTGTGGAATTGCTCAATTACGGTAAGTGACATCAACCTTATTTTTTATTTTTTTTATTGCATAGATAGGTGGACGAGCTCACAGCCCACCTGGGGTTAAGTGGTTACTTGAACCCATAGACATCCAAAACGTAAATGCGCCACCCACCTTGAGATATAAGTTCTAAGGTCTCAAGTATAGTTACAACGGCTGCCCCACCCTTCAAACCGAAACGCATTACTGCTTCACGGCAGAAATAGGCAGGGTGGTGGTACCCACTCGCGCGGACTCACAAGAGGTCCTACCACCAGTAACCTTTTTATCAATAATCGCGAAAGTAAAATACCTATTACAATAGAAACCACAACTTATAACTTTTTCCTTTCAGGCAGCGAAGATGAGTCGGAGGAAGAGGAGGACGAAGAAATTATGCAGCCGCCGCTGGTGCCCCACTCGACCAGGATGTGGTTAGAAGTTGAAAGAGGTGAAGAGAGCAGAGAGAGAGAGAACATTAATATGAAGTGGCCTCCTCAACCTCTTCGTCTATCCACGTCTACCTCATCGACGGCTCTTTCGCCTTCTGTGGCGGTAAGGCCAGCTAACAAATTTAGTTTTGAATGGAGAACGGCGCCAATGCCTCAAATCGAAGCTGATTTAAGGCGAGAATCTTTCTCCCAAATTAGTGGTCCAAAGGTTTCTTTCGCGACTCCATACGATGCATTTGTTGCCTTAAGCAGCCATTACTGGGTAGTAGAAAATATAGTAAACATTTGTTTGTCTCTGGAAGTATAAAATGACCATGTTTATTATATACTAACTAGTGTTCGTTTATTCGTACTACTACTAACATTTTGTGATTGTCGTTGTGATCTTCCTTTTTCCGTTATAATGGATAATTTTGTTAACAATTTAGAATTATTTATGATTTTAAGAGAGCAACTACAGTCGCTGTCTGATAATAAAAACTATTTCAATTCCTACAAAATCAAATAAACGTGACCGAAGAGAAAAGTGTTGAGCTCCAAAAATTCTGTACGCACTTTTGTTCAAATATAAGTGCAATATGGAAACGAAGTAGTCGCATGTTAGCACAGTTTATAAGAAAAAAATGTGACTGGTTATTGGATAGAATGTGCAGTAAACTGGCCCGAAGGAATGATACCTGAAGCTTTCAACACTGCACAGGAAAGGCTCGAGATTTCTAATACTGAAGATGTTGAAAATGTACCACCCTCAAATGTACTACAGAAGCCTCGACATCTACTTTTACACCTCGAAAACCTTTTGAAGAATTGGGATCCAGGCAAAAACGAAGACGCATTGAAAAAATGTACCAATTGCTTTCGTTATCCCCGGATGAAATGAAAGCTACTACAATTGCTAGTTTGAGAAACACTGGAAATGAAGATATAGGAGAAATAATGAAACACTTGTCAAATCACCCCGAAGATCTAGAAAATGTTAAGGAGTGTTTAATTGCAAGTAAAGTGAAAAGTAGTACATATTCTCCCGATAAGGCACTATTAGTTTCACTCAAATTAAGTGGCAGTATATAAACATAAGAGAAGCAGCAAGTGAAAATGGGTCTGATTTATACCCTTCTTAATATAAAATTAAACGAGCAAAGACCAAATGTTATCCAGGGATAGACGAGGTAATTATTACTAAAGAAGGAGCTGCTATTAAAATGCAAGCATATTACTAAACTTGGCGGTATTTAAGCTTTTAGATGTGATTACTTCGGAATTGGACTCGGCAAGAGAGCTACTGCTTATAAGCAAATCGGCTTTGATAGAGCCCCAGGTCAAAGTAATTATAAACAAAAAACTGAAACAGAGTTTGATGATTCATCTATTTTCATGGTCAGTCTAGTTCCTATAAGGCTTCAGAAATTTGACGGAACAATTGTTTGGGAAAACGGCCTACCGCCATCAACTTTTTATTGCCGTCCAATAATGTTTAAATTTACAAAAGAAACGCAGTCAACAGTGGCAATTATAAAAGCTAGCATAACAGAAGAAATAGAAAGACTTAAGCCATCAAAAATCAAACAAGTTGAAGTTAAGCGTCAATTGCACATGACGATGATAGACGGCAAAATAACCTCATATTTGTCAGAAACATTTTCTGCTGTCTGTGATATTTGCAAAGCAAAACCGTCAGTTTTTGGAGTCACTTGCTTATCAAAGAGAAAATAATGAAGAAATATTCCAGTATGGAATGCCATCTTTACATGCCTGGATAAGATGCATGGAGTGCTTACTTCATATCGGTAAATATAATTTTATTACTTCACAATTTTTTCATCGTATGTAGTTTCCTGTGAGATAATTTTTTAAATGCCTTTTTTTTGTTTGCGTTTTATCGTTTGGACTTCAAGAAATGGGAGTTGCAAGGGGCGATGACAAAGAAAAAATATCAATCAGAAAGAGCGCTATACAGCAAGCGCTTAAAAAGGAATGCGGTTTACTTATAGNCATCAACTTTTTATTGCCGTCCAATAATGTTTAAATTTACAAAAGAAACTCAGTCAACAGTGGCAATTATAAAAGCTAGCATAACAGAAGAAATAGAAAGACTTAAGCCATCAAAAATCAAACAAGTTGAAGTTAAGCGTCAATTGCACATGACGATGATAGACGGCAAAATAACCTCATATTTGTCAGAAACATTTTCTGCTGTCTGTGATATTTGCAAAGCAAAACCGTCAGTTTTTGGAGTCACTTGCTTATCAAAGAGAAAATAATGAAGAAATATTCCAGTATGGAATGCCATCTTTACATGCCTGGATAAGATGCATGGAGTGCTTACTTCATATCGGTAAATATAATTTTATTACTTCACAATTTTTTCATCGTATGTAGTTTCCTGTGAGATAATTTTTTAAATGCCTTTTTTTTGTTTGAGTTTTATCGTTTGGACTTCAAGAAATGGAGTTGCAAGGGGCGATGACAAAGGAAAAATATCAATCAGAAAGAGCGCTATACAGCAAGCGCTTAAAAAGGAATGCGGTTTACTTATAGATGTTTTCAAGCAAGAAGTAGGAACAACAAATGATGGCAATACTGCCAGAAGATTTTTCAGGGATGCAGAAGTAACAGCCCGCATAATAAGAATACGTAAAGATTTAATAGAGAGGTTTCACGTAATTCTTCAGACTGTTGCATCTGTAGAGCGCGTGGACCCTTTCCAATTTTTCCGAATTTTGTAGATATACTGCAGAATTGTATGTTAATTTATATCCCTGGTATTATATGCCTTCCAGTATCCATAAATTGTTGGCACATGGCAGTGATATACAATAATGAAGAACTTTGGTGCTATTCGTATAGGTAAACTCTAGCGGAAGCTCGCAATAAAGATTTTCGGAAATATACAGAGNGAGCGCGTGGACCCTTTCCAATTTTTCCGAATTTTGTAGATATACTGCAGAATTGTATGTTAATTTATATCCCTGGTATTATATGCCTTCCAGTATCCATAAATTGTTGGCACATGGCAGTGATATACAATAATGAAGAACTTTGGTGCTATTCGTATAGGTAAACTCTAGCGGAAGCTCGCAATAAAGATTTTCGGAAATATACAGAGTTGTTATTCTAGAAAGATAAGTAGAACGTCGACTAATGAGGATATTTTATACAATCTTCTTTTGTCTTCTGACCCAAAGATCGAATGGTGAAACATAATACGAGTTTATACCTAATACTTAGAGAGATTGATTAATTAGTGACCTACTAAACGTACTGTTGTTAGTTATTTTGTAATTATGGCTATTATTACATGCTTTTACTAACTATTCCATATCAAATTTATCTTAAAAGCACTTGCGAAAATAAAAATAAAGGTTTTTATTCTATGTATTTACTCATTTTTTTCGATCCATTTATTTGGCAGAGTTGCAACTTTATGCACATGTTCATAGCATCAAATGATAGTAGACTAGACAAGGTGTAAGGAAAATAAAGTTTCAAAGCGGGACCTCACGGAACTTAGCAGGAATTTAATTTAATGTGACCCGCTCCATACAAAAAAATCACAAAACACATTTTTCTGACCAAACTATAAAGTTTTAGTAATTTTTGCCCAAAACAATTATTATTGAGATTAACGAGCTCTATCTATCTACTTATTTTTTTATTAAAAAATAAAGTTGGTCCCTAAGTCACTAAAATCATAGTATCGACCCACTGTGCGCCGGCGCGGTGCTCCAACAAAAAGAAGGAGGTTCTTGGAAACCAGTAGGATTTTTTCTACAAAATTAAGCGATGCACAGTAGCCATATTCAACATACCACAGAGAATTGTTGGCAATCTATCTGGCAATCAAACATTTTAGACCGCTTGTTGAAGGACGATTATTTACAGTATACACGGAACACAAGCCTCTCGTATACTCTGTACAGAGAAATAAAATAGGCAAAAACGATACACCCAGACGCACACGTCAATTATATTTTATTTTGCAGTTTTGTACAGAT